CTTCATCATTAAAAGTATGTGAACTGAATGTGAATTGCAAGTTTAGATTTTATCAATAGGTAAATTAAAAAAAAAACCCGCTTCAGTATTTTAAAGAGAGAGTGCTTGTACTCGTGTTCTTGTTGTCTGATGTGGAAAACATATTTGTGGGAAAGATATGGTGACAATATGAACACATCTTGGAAGAGGTGGGAGGACACTTTACCCCACAACGTGTGACCTGCAAATCGACAAGCTGTGGCGGACCCCTTTATTAAGGCTTGGTGGAAAGAGGCAGAAGGATTTAAGAACCATTCGCCGCTATCTTCTTGGTTCTTTCGGTAAAGTCACGTAGAATGGAAATAAAATAATAAAAATAAAACATTATAAAATAAAGTAAAAATAAAATAAGCGCCGCTATTTCAATTGCGATTCTGGAGAACAAAGCAGAAACCCCTGGTTTGCAATTCTAGTTTGGTAACCATGCCACCATGGCGGCATCAAAATCATAATCATAATTTCATCATTAGACCTGTTTGAGGGTACGTGGCACCCCCACATGGGAATAATGAAATACTTCACTATCGAAGTTGCCGAAAATCAAACTACCTGGCAAGTAACCGGCAAAGAGCATAGTGAAAACTAAATCCCAAATCATATAATTATTCGGAGATTTTTTTTGCACTCCAGCTACTCACAAAAAAATGACAGTAATGTAGATGCAAAGGTGTTTTGCAAAAAAAAAATCACTTTGACAGCAATTGCTACGAGACGTTTATCGTGACTTTATCTCGAAGCGAATTGACAATCACTTCCGATGCATACATCAGTTCATCTATCTATGGGACCGTTTTGTCAGTATCCAAAATTAAGAACAATAAGAATAGGTGTTTTTCTTTCAGGCAATGAAATAAGTGTAAAGATGTTCAAACACCAAATAGATAAATAATAAATCACGACGTTTCGATCGCAACAACAAGCGATCGTCCTCAGGTGAAAGAAAGAAACATGCCTCTGTGACGAGGCATTTTATAGAGTTCCAATTTTCTTTGTCGAAAGGTCCATTTTCTCTCCTCCAGCCGCTCTCATTGACATGCTAATTTATCTGCCCCCCCTCTCTATATCACTCCTCGACACAGAGTCGTTGTTTCCCTGTGTGCTTCTGTGTGTCTCTCTCTCTCTGTGTGTCTCTCTATATGTCTCCGTGTCTGTGTTTTGTCTCTCTCTCAATTTTTGCAATCTTTGGAAGAACGTAATCAACCAGGTAGGGTGTTGACTGTTGTGTTAGCAGACTCTCTTTTTTGTATTGCATTATATTTCTAAGTTTACTAGGTTTGTTTTCTCATTTATTCACACCTGATGACGGTTGCTTGTGCTGCCATCGAAGCGTCGTATTATATTGCTCAATTTATTTTCTTTCTACGTGACTTTACCCAAAGAACCAAAGAGTAATTCCTGCAGTCACGAAAGCTTCAAATCAAGTTTACAAACAATATACTTCACCAAAAGCATTTAGAAGCTAATAATGCTGACTGTCGCAGCCTACACTAAATGTACACCACATTAATTATTTATATTTTGGTTGTGGGGAGTGGTGGCGCAGTGGTTAGTGTAGTGCACTAATCTCAGCGACCTGAGTTCGATATCCAGCAATGGCCAATATCAGTGGTGAGTAAAAGCTTATGGCTCACCACAGCCTCCAACCCAAGCGTGAACTGACCATGCTCATAAAGTATAGTCAAATAATTCCTGTAACTGACACCTAAATGGAAGTATTCATCCAGCAGTGGATTGATGGAGGACTCTTCATTTGTATTACATTTAGTAAATCGCTATATATTATGAAAGGTCACTCGTGAAGTTATTCTAAAATACATTTTTGATTTATATATGTAGACATAAAACTGCATTCAGACCTTTGCTGGGTATGTACTGTAATAATTCAGTAATTATATACTTAGGCATTCTGACTCATTATTAGTTCATATTGGGTTAGAGCGTGGCGTGATATTAATGTGTTAACCGCTACCTACCACCACCTGGCATAGCCAATCAAATCAAGTCAAATAATAGTGTTGTTTAATTATGAATCCTAACAATTCACTGACCAGCCTTGATTCGTGGATTGATTATTTTGTCTCGTTGTAGCCCTCTCATCCAAATTTTAGTTATTTTTGTTATTTCTCCCATCTTTTTTATATTGTTTTATATTTTTATTATTTTATTGTTTCCCTTCTACGTGACTTTACCGAAAGAACCAAGAATATTCTCCCATCTTGTTCACACAGTTTTGTTTCTGCCACTAAGCTAAATGAAACATTAGCGTATGACATGTTTTATTCGTAAAAATCTAGATGTATTATTTCATCATTGAATTGATGCTGTGTTACATGCTAACATTTGCCTACTCGTGTGTGTGTGTATATATACTATATGTATATACATATATAAATAAAACACTGGTTGGTGCACGTTTCTGTTGTCCTCATTTATTTGAAAGAAAGTCTAAATTTGATCAATTTTACCCTTTGCTTCACCCATGTGTTTGTGGAGAATTGCACAATCAATGCCAGCCGATTGGAGTTTTTTTTAATGAACATTTCAGGCAGGGCCATTGCAGTTCGAGGGATATCAGCGTTTTACAGCAGAGCTTTTGTAAAGAGAAGCAGGGTAAAGGTAGCTGCCATAATGGGACACTGGCCCGTTCTTTTAAGATTCAAGGAAACACGTATTCTTCTACTTGGCGACTGTCTGCTCGCGTCGCCAGTTTTTTTTTTAACAACCTCGACATGGACGTGGAATCCCCTCCAGCACTCTGCTGCATTTGCCTCTTGCGGTTGTGTTAAATTCAGAAGACACTTTGCCGTACGCTGGCCCCAGAATGTGGCCTACTGCCTGCGAGAGGCTTTTGGCCACTCTGCAGTGGCATTCAACTTGGACAAACTTCTAATTAATTGCACCTGTATTGAATGGAGGGCATTGCTAGGTACAGGAGCATGCGCATTTTGCCGTAATAGCCAGTGTAAACACGATTGCTTGCACCATGTGCTTTAGCTATGAGCACATGTATGTTTGGACCAGTATATTGATTTAATGTGCCAGGCCCTCCCGTTGATAGCACGCAAACTGTATTCGGGGTTAAATGTTATAAGACGTGAACTGTTGCACAAAATAACAATCATCACCGACATCATCAGGGACGATAGATCCACTTCTGGATGAAGGACTCACCAAGCTGTTACCACATCGCATGATCCTGCGATGTATCACAAGATACTACTGTTACTGTAATGAGCTACTGCAAAACTTTGCAAACAGTCCTTACCTTCTGTGTTGAAATCCCTGTTATATTGTCCTTCCTGCCGCACTGGCATCGATGGGAGGCGTTCACATTTCCAATATTATTCCTTAAGATCCACTAAGTTATCCGATTCCTTTCTGACCTATACAATCTTTGCTCGCCGATAAAATCCTCACCTTCATGCGTTGACATTGATCGTAGTTTCGTTGAAGTGCGCTCCCCCTGGGTCTCAATCACATTTCACATTTGCCCAAGTGTAAGTCTTAAAGAATGGCAGCCAAGGGAGGGAAGGCATCCGAAAGTACATCCACCAAGGAGATGGAACGATGAAATCATCTGAAGTGCAGATGCTAGGAGGATTGTCACGTTATGGGTTCATACATGATGCCGGCGGCTTGGGAAAATGCATTCATCCAGCAGTGGATTGACCACGGTTGATAATGATAATGGTCATGATGAAATGCACCATTTGTACGCACATTGTAGACTTGCGCACAGCGGTATTAAGACCTGTCCCTTCATTGCATTACTGTTGCATAAGGGTCTGCACATTTCAGACATAAGCTTTGACTTGTGCATGCTAATATGCACTGTTCTATTAAAAAAGGCCATCCAGAGTAATCCGTATGTCACTGCAGCCTCCTCACCTTACCGTGTAGCATTATCACCCAACCTCGTGTGAGCTCTTTATGCTATTGCTGGGATTTGGAACATGATAACTACTCTTTCCCTAATTGCACTAAATATATGCGTGGCACTTGATTTACGCTTGTTGATTTTAATACCTTTTGAATAATCTACTCCGTGTTGCTCTCTTTCTGGAAGTGTGTTCCCTGAACTGTGCATTTGTGAAAGCCGCCATAAAATATAATCTCAGCCACACAAATCCCCGGAATGGAAATATTGCACGTGAAAAGCCACCCTGGGATTTTCCATATTGAACGAGACTAATGTTCGGCAATTGAATCAAAGAACAACCATTCAAAGTATTTCCCTCCCCTCCAAAATCCTATTTCTTTTTTCACAGCATTGTATTTTGTTAGACTACATTTTACAAGTACTGGACCGCCATTTGAAATTATTTTTGCATAAAATTCAATTGGCCATGGCGGAGTTCACGGTTGGGTAACGCACACTTGTGCGGCGCATAATCTACTGCAAGAGAGCAGCAGATTTTATATCGAGGTGCACTGACAATGTATCATTTTAATTGAGCACTTAAACTGTAATTTTGTGTTTGCAATGCATCACAATCAACGTCTTCTATCGGCTGATCCTTTAAATGATAAATCGTATCATTTGATCGCGTTCATAGTTTCCTCGTGCGTTAATTAATCACTCGTGCTGAGTGTAATCGAATTGATTTATTTGGTTATCCGTTATTGTCGATTAATCCACCTTTCCCTCCAATAGATATTTGGAATATATACTCGCGGCTCAAGGCCAGTCAACAAATTTAATATATTAATCGTAAATTAGATCATGCATTGGTTAATAATGTAATTCATACACTATTTTTGTTTTGCTGAAGTGTGGGTGATTTCCCGAAATACGACCATAACAGCCACGAATGTGTGAACCGCCCTCAGGCCTCCCCGAGGTCGCCTTAAATGAGTAGCCGGTGAGGTGTGCAAACAGCAACGCTCGGGAAACGAAGGTGGCCGGGCATAGTGTTGGCCATCCACCCACTCGTGTGCACTTCATAGGTGCTCGCGAACAGCACTTGCCAAAACAGGATGTTTAGGCTATGGGAGAGAGGGGGGGGGGTTATTATTTCCTTTGCTCAATAGGTGAGGTGGACAAACAAGATAGGCAAGGTAGGAGGACGTGTATACGAGGGAATAATTACCAGGGGCACTCCGCGTGGGGGAATGTACGAGCACAGTCGAAGGTGATTCATCGAGGAGTGTGTTAATTTGTGAACGGCGAGCACTGAGATCATCAGGACATCAATGGTGGTGAGAGATACGATGAGGTGTGAGGGATCGATGGACGGTGACGTGGCAATGGGGCCCAGTTGGAGAGTGAAGAACGTGCGCACTCGAGAGCAAAAGCGGCCACCTAGAAGCCAGTGGTGGTGAGCTCAGGTGACGGTGCCTCGCCTAGACTCCCGCGCCTCCGATTAGCACGGTTGGCTACGTACGGTGCGACAGAAGTCCAGCGTACGGTCCATTCCTACTTATGTGCGCACGAGTCACACAACCGTTTGAAACAAATAACTGGAAGCTCCGGGGCAAGCTCTGTGGGGGGAGGAGGATGGAGAACGGGGGTTAGAACACGTGAAGGGTTGGTCACTGTGAAGACGCGCTGTGGAGTGATTCGAGAAGAACGTTGGCAAGATTGGCTTGCGCACATCTGGATGGAAGCTGTGAGTCATTCTAACAGTTTCATAACATAACAAAGTTTTTAGAACAATGTAATTTGTTGGGGTCTCTTCTTCCAATTCCATTGTGCTACGGGCATAATGCCATGAGTTATTGTTTTAATGTGTGTGCAGCCATTGGTGAAGGGGATGATACCTTCAAGCTCGCTATACAGCAAAAGCGATATTAAACGGTCACACGTTTTGCTTTGATTAAGTTTAAAGTAAATTTAATCGTGCTTAATACATTTGCATGAGTTGCGTGCATAAATCTTATTTACAGCCCTTGTCAATCCACTGGTGGATGAAAGCATCTGCCATGCTGCGTTGGTCTTGGTGCTTCTTTGACCAGACCTCACAAAACCGGTCGTTCCAGATTGGTGAAGGTGGTACCTAGGACCAGTTCAGATATTACCTATATATTTTATCCATGGCTGGGATTCAAACTGATATCAATGGGTTCATAGCACAATGCACAACAAAAACTGTTCAAATCTTTTTTTTATTTTACCAGGTAAGGCCAATGAGCTCTATAGCTCTTTTTCAGAAGGGACCTGATCACATATTATAGCTCAACGATGTGGTGTATCACGTGTACATTTATAACAGCCAAATACTCTAAACGCATGGTTCTCTCTGTGGAGGTAAAAATCTAAGGACCCGGAGAAAAATATACTGTCGCCTCTCCACTCCAGTACATGAATAAGTGTCTTAGAAAATTCGAACTGTCTTGCATGTCACTTGGCTTTCCAGGGTAATGTTAACATGCAGCACTGGACAAGCATTATTACACTGATGAGACCCAATCGTTTAAAATGGTCCAGAGTTTTCTCACTTAAATACAAGCAGATTGATAATATTAGTCTGGAAAGCCAGTCGATTTATGAAATTAAACCTTTCATTTCCATTTGGAAACAAAATGGAGGTCTGCTTATAGTTGTGGATACAACACGACCTTGACAGACACTTTGTTGTGAGGCTTCTCGTCACTATTGTTAGAGCAGAGGTTCTTAACCTGGGGATGCGAGATGCCATTTCTGGGGGGTGCGAGACGTGGCCAGATTTTTTTTTAGATGGTAAATCATCGAAACACAAATGAATCACGGGCACATAAGCACAACTACTTGGTTTCATCAATCCTATGTATGTATTAACATTATACTGTTGTTTTTTTTACGAATGAGAACCAAAGGGGTGCAAGGTTAAGAACCACTGTGCTTGGGGATTCACCACACGACAGACACAGCGTGTGGACGACTTGATTGCAAAATAAATCAATGCAAAATTCATCTTTGCACACTGCTGCTACAGAGCAACGTCAATAAAGGAGCTGGTAGCTCCAGTAATGGGGCATAAACTACCACACAACGCTCATTCAAAAGAAAACAACATTTCAAGTTTGCCTGCCGAAGCTCGAGGTCCCGATGTGATGCGCCAGAGTGCAGGATTACATGAACGAGTCTGAAAAATACACTTTCACAGTGCAACACCCCCCAAAAAAATATAATTCTGCTCTACTCGTTGGCAATGCAAATAAAAGCTAGAACAAAGAGTAAACAAATGCTTCAACTCCGTGTGTGTTCTGTTGCCCCAGTAGCTTCCGAACTGTCTTTAGAATTCGTTTGGGTGACTCGTACGAGGCGAGTGAACCTGGGGGTAGGCATGCTTGCAGTTAGTAACGGTCATTATTTTTGAAGGCCTGCTACATTGTTTATGTAATTTTTTTGTAATCGCATGTTTCGATCATACCAAGTGCTCTGAAATTCGACTCGGTGTAAAGTTGCAACCCTGCAATTACCGGCTCATTCCACTGCTGGTGAAAGCGCCTCCAGGGAGTGCTCGAATATTTATTAGCCTTTTCCACGTGAGGCAAATGTTTTGGAGGGAGGAATGCCCACTCAATCCATGGCTAATTGGAATTAATTTAATCCCGTTGGTTATAGTGTTTTAATAGTATTTACGAAGCAAATAATCGTTTTTTTTTTCTAATATAATGTTACAATGACGAAATACAAATCACAATTGATCAGTGGTATAAAATTTGAAATCGATTCTCCAGCTATGTTAGTCATATTTGCCAGGGTATCAAAGGGAAAGGAAACTATCATGCCCTACATATGCCATCTCATGGACAGCAGATAAGGTTCAAGGAATGAAATAGATTTACACAATTAAACCATTATTTCCATTGGAAATTAAGAATACGCTGATACATATAACACAACTTTTTTTTTTATTATGCAACGAGTATACAGATAGTTTCCTCCAAACCTATTATTTGTCATTATTATTGTTTTTCAATTTATAGGCATGTCGTGCTGTTAGATTTTTAATTAAGACATTTCCCAAAGCTCTCCCTGGCATTCTTAGATTTTTTTTACTTATTCCTTTTAATCAGTTTTATTCCAGGAGATAGTTATCAACATAATTTTTTTATATATTAAGAATCCAACATGTAAACGTAATACAATTTCTATACGAACCGATATCTAAATGTAGGTATATGTAGGTGTATGTATATAGGACATGTCTCTGACCGTGTTAATGAGCATAAGGTAGATTTGACACACGGGAGGACCAACACTTAAGCCGTGGCTGATCATTGTTTTCATGTGGTTGGCTCACACGAAATTGATTTCTCTAAGACCAAGGTACTTTGCAAGCCCACTGACTATCAACAAAGATTCGTTCATGAAGCCATCTATATATACAGACACAGACATAATGTCAACAGAAAGGATTGGTACAAATTCAGCAATCATTGGAAGGACATCATTAACCAGTTTAAGTCCTAACTAGCTTTGATGTTTCCATCTTGTCACCTTCCGATGTGAGTTTTATTTTACTAAAGATTGGACAATCAATTACAGTTCCTGTAATTGATTGTCCAATCAATTGATTGTCCAATCAATTTCTGCGGTGTCGCCTCTGCATTGTTAATTTTTCCACAGCTAATGCGTCTACCCTTCTCTTGATTCTCAGATTCCATATTAACATAACCATCTCTGCTTGTGCTGGTCCCAGGGCACTTGTGCCCCACCCACTTCGTTCTGATACCAGGACGCTTGAGCTACGCCCTTTTTATTACACACTTTTATTTAACTCGCGCTCTCTGTTGTTGTTGTATCCTCAAATCTTGTAACTCAATTTTAGCCAACTTACCAATGTGGTATCTACTGCAAACTTGGTATACGCATGCCATACTGATGACAATACTATATTGTATGATAAAAATTAAAAATGAACATATTTTTAAACATTATTTTTGATATGTTATATTTCGGCTAGGGTCTAATTGTCCACGCTCAACTGACGTTGGCTGTAATTGTCCACGGTCCCTTACGTTGTGGCAAGCTTCGGGGCCACTTCCTGGAGTCGTGGAGTTCTGCCATTACTAGTACATTTCATAAAAGCGTGTTTAAAAAAAAAAGATTTTTTAAATATTACGTATTTAACCTTTCAAACAGCTCGCCTTTAGTGGCTCCCCCCCCCCCTTTGCCACCTAATGACGGTCGCTTGTGTTGCGATCGAAACGTCGTAGTTTTTGTTTCATTTGTTATTTTTTAACCTATCTACTTGACTTTACCGAAAGACCCAAATAAATATAACATCACATTTTCTGTCACTAGCAAAGTTAATGTTTATTCTATTTTGTCCGCGAAATGCGCCTCAATGCTGAGGATATGATTTGTTTAATATTTATTTTTCATAATCATCAGAAGCAGCCAAGCTGGACTCATTAATGGTTCTTGACCTTTATTGCATCCTGCACCCATTTGGTTCTCAATCATGAATTTTTTGTTTAAATAAATACATACGTTTGATGATACAGAGTTGTTGTACGTATGTCCCCGTGTTTAAATTGTGTTTTCGATTATTTACCTGTCTCGCAAACCCCGTTTAAGAAAGAACCACTGCGTTCATGGATGTGGGTTTCCCCAAGCCGGTCACCATCTCTCTCGATGCTGCGAGTAACAAGCCCCACCTCTCGCCTGCACAAGCACTGATTTCATCGCTCCATTTCTTTGGCAGACATCCTCTCTGGCACGTTCCATTCCTTAAGCTGCAACCATTACTTGTATAAATAGACAACTAATACGTCCACCGTATACGGGAAATATCTATATAGGAATAACATTCACGTTATTGTAATCTGTTCTGGAGGGTGGTGGGGAAGGGATGGGGACTCAGAAGGAGGTTATTATGGGTGTTGAGTGAACATGCATCAGTAACTGATGATGGCCTCTGTACAATGTGGGTTCTTCTTATTTGTCGACTAATTAATCGTGCGAGCGGTGGTACAGCGGTCAGAGAGCTGGGCTATGCAACCGGCGAGCCAAGTTCGATTTCCGCTCATGGCCAACACCAGTGACGATTATTCGAACCATTCCTGGGTCACGCCTAGGTCGACTCGGCCGCAAATGAGCACATGGCCCAGTGTGTAAACATCGCCACTCGGGAGACAAAGGCATCTTGCTGGACTTCAAACGTCCCCGCCAATAGCACTTTCCCAAAAAGTCTGTTAATGCTATAGGGGGGATTTTGACTTCAAACGTTGGTGACTGCAGGAATTGTTTTTCGGTGAAGTCACGTAGATAGAAAAAAATAACAATAAAATAATAAAAATAAGAACGAAAATTAAGTGAAGTTTATTGTTATTATTATTTTTCTATCTACGTGACTTTACCGAAAGAATCATTTTATTGGACTTAATTAAACGTACGCATCATCTTCATCGAGGTACGGTGCACATTTGTTACATGCTCAACGGTTATACTGAGCCATCTCGAGCCCAATGGGGCTGCAGATTAAGTGAAGTCGTGGAAGAAAAAACACTGGTGACTGAGAGAAAGGAGGAGCAGGTGGTAGGTGATGACCTCATGCAATTTCACAGACAGCCGAATATTCCCAGGAATAATTATGATGTCGGTGATAATAATAATAATGGATATGTCATACTTGGACGTGTATATGTGTACCGATGCACCAATAGCTCGTGATGGGTCACTGATGCAGCCGTGCAATGGGATTCGTAAGCTTCCCATGTACATGCAGAGATGGAGCAAGTTAATTGGTACATGGTAGAATTGTGTACGTAACGTTGTTCTTAATCACGCTGGCTAACAAAGTCGGTGTGTGCGATCGCAAAGCAACTGGAGCTTTACCACCGGTTATCCACCGTCTTTCTACGTGGTGCATGGATGCAAGTAATTTTATAACGTTGCAGTTTTCTCACGTGGGAAATTAGAAAGTCATGTCGGTCCTATGATAGTTTATTTTCTAAAATGGTTAATGTGCGTGTTATATATACACACACACACTGTGTGCCGCCTCACATGGGAAATTAGAAACAGGCAAGTCAGCCGCAATGTAGTCTGCGTGGTAAAATGGTTAATTTAACGATACTGCCCTTGCTTTCACCCTTCCACACTTCAGCATTGATGCATACCATATTTTTAATAGTGAGGTCACATAAAGTGCGGAAGCTAGTACCTCCCCCCCCCCCCCGCCATATATCACTGCAAAGTGTGGCACACACACTTGTGATGTGTTGAAGCCAAATCTGATATGAAAGGGATATAAATAATGAACACTTCCAGAGCATAAGACGCAATTCACGGTCTCGCCTGTGCATTGTAATGGAAACACGAAGTTGACAAGAGTTACAAGGGACAAAGGGTCATGGTGTACTGTGACTATTCCTTCAGAAGGAGAAGTGGGATGGGTGTGCCGGTCGCTCAAGTATTACGATTGAAACACCAATCGAGTACTGCTGATGAGTCAATAATTGTTTTTTTTATTTAAAGCTTTCGTGACTGCAGGGATTCATATTCTTGGTTCTTTCGGTAAAGTCACGTAGAAGGGAAACAATAAAATCATATTTTTATTATAAAGTAATATTTTTTTTATTTTATTGTTTCCCTTCTACGTGACTTTACCGAAAGAACCAAGAATATCAATAATTATTATTGAAAAATTCAACAGTTATTGTTTAATAATTCAATAATTATTAATAATTATTACAATGTTGACGAAATTCAATAATTATTAATAATTATTATTGCATTACTTTGAGGGGGAAAAAAACATTTTAAAGTATTGTTTTTTTTTACTTTCAAAATTTTCATTTCTATCTCGTCCTATTCATCCCACTCCCTGTTTGATATGTCCAGACTTTCCTTTCCGAGGTCAGGGAGACATCTATTGCACCTATGCCTAACGCATCCTGTTGGATGTTGTGTCCACTCCTCCGATTTTAACGGTTGGCTACGTACGGTGCGAAAGAAGTCCAACATACATGCATGCTCGCGGGCTGTGCTTCCCTGTACATTTTTGTCATGCAAAATGCGTGTGGAATTGAAAATAACACATGTTGTGCAACTCATTAGCCTTCATTCGTTAAGCCCTCGTTACATTTGTATGTATATTAGTTTATTATCTTCAATATATATGTAATATTTTTGGAAGTACAATGGAGGGACAGTGTTGTTGCAACTTTAAGGGTCGTTATGTTTAAAGCAAGCTTCCTTTTATATGCTTGCGACAGCATATGTTCACTTCATATTTAAGTACACATTTAAACTGTGGGGATTTTTTTTTGTTTTACGTTAATGAAGCCTCTAATCAAAATGTACAAAGACGTGGCGAGACTCTTAATGAATCACAGCTGTGCCCTTTTATTGGCTGGCGCTTCTTTAGTGTGTGCGATTCTTCGTACAAGTTGTGCTATTTCAAGTCGCCTCTCTTCTCATTTACAGCAGCTTAAAGAGAAGAGAAAGGAAGGCGGGCAGGGGTGTGACCATCTTCGGATCCGTGCGTGCGCTCGGGAAACAAACAAAAAAATGTTGGCGCCGGTGTGGTAAGAACGCATCGGCCGGGGTGAGTGGCCAGCCTGTGACTGTGTCAGTGTTGTGCGTAGCCTTCTTTTTTTCTGTGGCTTTCTCGAAATTTCATTGTTCAAAGGCGTACATGGGTGCGGTGTGAACGGGCTCCTTTTACACTTCCTTGACGCCGCTGCTAATGATAAAAGGCAGCACTGTCAGTTCGCGTATGTGTGTGTTTTTTTTTTGTCAATGCAAACCACACCGCACTAATTTACGGGTGTACAGCTGCACCGTGGGGATACGGACAGCATCACACAAATGGTTCGTGTTTTAAGCTTGCAAGATAACTTTGGAAGGCATTGATGTGTTCCCAGTTCACGTGCCCCAGAAACACATTTGACAACAATGGCGAGTATAAAGAGGTCAATAAAATATAGATTGTTTTTTTTTTGTAATTTATCAGTTCGTTAGAAACGGATTAATGTGGTTTGAAAATACTGCCGTTTTACCCGCTGTCATATGGAGAGCCAAATCATATTCTTAATGGTATTTTGCAAGCAGATAATAGAATGCTCCGTCTTATTGTTGGGTTTAATCTGCCATCACAGCAGCAATTTCTTTCACCGAGTAGATCTTGGCGGTTGTGCTGCTTAGCTCTCTGATTGGCGCGTTTGTGGTTGGTGCCGTGTGTTGTTCGCTACCGACGTTGAAACTCCCCAGCACGTGGAGCGAAACGTCGGACATCGTGCCATCTTGCTGTGGAAAAGATGGATCTTACAAGTATGGTAAAACTTTGTACACCTAAATATAGTATTTAATTGTCGGAACGGAGGATGGTGTTGAGAAAAAAATATATACGTACGTTAACACGACAAATAATTATATTCTGAGATTGTATTCTATTTATATAACTCCCTGCCTTAGCAGCGCTCCCACCATATTTTTTTTTCCTGCCCCAGCAGCTCTCCGGCTATATTTTTCACCTGATGACGATTGTTTGTGTTGCGATCGAAACGTCGTGATATTGTTATTATTTATATTATTTATATTATTTTTATTATTTGGTCTATCTACGTGGCTTTACCGAAGGACCCACAGAATACAAAGAATATAATTGTATTCTAGTTTTGTAAAAAAAAAAAACATTGGATGCGTTTCAATTGGCATTGTCTGGTGAAAAGTAGTATTCCAATACTTTTCCGTATTCACAAATCAGATGGAATAATTCCGAGTTTTCACACCGCCGTGGCAGAGAGATATTTCTCTCCTGAGAAGGAAGGTCCACTGCCTCATCATGTGTGTACTTTGTCGTTTGTTTGTGACAAATGCGTTGGGAGCTTCGCTATTTGTGTTTGTGTACCACCGCAAAAGCAGCATTGCGAGCGTGGTTTTATTTCATTGCATTCCCTGCCTAGATCTCTTGCCTGGATTTAAGCGAGGTGTGGTGGGTTCAGTATCTCTCAGGCGCAGTTTTTTTTTTTGCTGCCGGAAAATGGTCTCGAAATAGTTTGCTATTGTGTGAAATGTCATGGGTAATACGTGCATTAATTTATTACGAGGCTAAGAGTTTAATTAACTCGGATGGATAACATATTTGCTGCATCGAATGTGTTTTTCCCATGCGTTCATGAAACCAAGCCAGATTTTTGGGGTGTAAAGAGATACCGATGCATCATCAAGTAAACAGTGCGGTCATTCTCAAACAAGTTTGTGCACTGGCGATAGCGCTTTGAATGGAAGGCTTACAGGTTAGTTTTTGTGATTAATAAAATATAAATCACCGTCATTTGTGTAACTAAATAACTCCAGTAATATATATGAAAAATGATATTGTCTGTGGGAAATTGGGTGTACCAGGTTCGTAGATGAGAATATTTTTAAATTGTAAGGATTCCTTTCTTAACCACTCTACTTGGTATGTCTGCTCTGATTCACTTGTGCAATGCACCTAACAAAGTGCTGGGTATTCCTGTTAAAATTGTTGACAGTTTTAAAAGATTACACCGGGAATATAACACGGAGTAAGGCAGACCAGATGACGTTGCCATGCTAAAAGGCTACATCCAGGCTTTGACTCTACAATATGTGTTTAAGATGTGGAGGCTGTCAAGCAATGCACAAAGTGTTTTGCGTCTCATACAGGCAATTATGGCTAAGTGACTGATGTAAATTATAATGATTTCATGTAAAGAGGAGAACGTTGTAATTTGGTACAGAGAGAGCCGAGTTGATGCTGAAAACAAGAAAAAAAAATCTGCATTGAAATATGGGTCCGAGATTGAATGGTTTCACAAATTGGGTAGAGTCAGCCTTAGAAGGCATTATTAGATTTACGAGTCATGCTGGACACTTAAAAACGTGCGATTTCTTATTTGCCTCGCAGTAAAACGTGATGCTACAGCAATGTGCTATTTTTTAGTGTAAGATACATCACTTGTGGAATAATGCACAAATGTCAAACTAGGAAGCATTAACTTTTCCTGCAGTTTAGAAACTTTACCATGACTGCAATATCATACATTTATTTGTCTGCTTTTGACATTATCTGCGAATGCCCATGGGTGACAGAAAGCAGAGGGAATCCTCTGGCCTCAATGGGCAAACATGATTCACAGATAAGAGGGCAATGGATAGGGATAGCTCCACTGCCCCTGCAGTGTGTTTATAGAGCGTGGGTTTGTATGAAGTTCATAACAATAACACTCGTAGGCGTTTTTTTAAATAAAATGGTGTGGCATTCATCTCCATTTGGCTTCCCGTGGCAGTGGTGGAATTTCCAAATGTATTTGGTGGCATCCCCAGCCTTCCCAAAGCCCCAGCCACTGCCATTGGTACCCATGTTAACAGCCCAGAGGGAGAACGGAGTGAAACTATTCATAGTTATTTTTTTACCCCATTACTAGTTTCACTCTAACCACTGTTTACTTGTTATACTCAAATTAACCGAAGGTTCTTTTTTTCACCATCTGCACATATATTTAAGAGATTATTCAACAGTACTCCGCCAATCCGGATGAACATCAAACTTGCACGACTTCAGTAAAAAAATAGTCATGTTGTACACAGCCTTTCAACTTTAAAGGCTTGACAGATTGAAAGAGGCACATTAATAATGGAATTTTTTTCTCTCCCTCGGATTGCTTTCTGACATTATAACGACCCCTGCTGATATTTTCTGAATGTTATATTTTTTTAATGGAACAAAAGTTCCATTTTGACCAATGTATTCTACCCATAGTAATTGCTATATGCAAGTGTCCTCAATGTTGGACTTCATATGCAATGCTTAACTTGTGCAAATGTATCCATTCCAAAATGAAAAACAAGATCTTCAAACCCAATGAGAAATGTGTTTATATGTTACTTTCCAAGAGCATTCTTACATGACATGCTTTCATAGGGTATTCTCATGCGGCATATCTTTTTTTTTATAATAGATTATAAAAGTTTGTTTGCGATGTGGTGCATTCTTTAGAATGGAAAAAGTTTAAAAATTGCCATTTAATTTGTTCACAAACATAATGTGTTTCTAAGGTGAAGAAACACCTCTCCTCAATTGTATTTCACATTCTCTAAGAGTTACAACACCTCAGCATGTTTATCATGATGATAGTTCTTCTCTATGGCACATTTCCCCAAAACGTCACCTAATTATATAAGGTTTATAAAATATAAGGTCTTTTCGGGCAGTGTTATTGATGAACGTGTGTAGTTTTGTTATTAGTTTTGATTCTGCACTACTGTAGTGACATGGAATGGGTCACTATGGTGCGTAGCGCTGGTTACTGGTAGAGAGCGGGATCGTGGGTGTAATAGCCCGGTCTACCAGCAGGGCAGGTGAAGTGTGCCCAGGAGTGCGTAGGGCCGGTTGCTTGCAGTGAAGGGTATTTGAGGATACAGCAGCCGTCTGCCAGTAGGGCACGTGATCGGCACGGATATAGGGTAAAGGTGACAGAGGCGACACGTGGGGCAGAGCCCAGAACCTTCTAGTAAGTTCCAGGCCGAGGGTGGAGCCAGGTCACGCTGGGGAGGATAAAAGGGAGGTCCTGACGCTGGGTCGAGGCTGTCGTTTGTAATGGAACCCGTCGTCTATCCAAGTCTTTGATAGTTTTGTACAATTAACCTCAAGCACATTAGCTAAAAATAGTCCCACAATACCATTATGCCACTATGGAAAAACGGTGCTGAACAATTATCACCACTGTCATTATTAACGTGGTTTAATTTATATATAAACAAGCAATACCTATATCAAGTTTAGCACTCTTTGACGCAAATGGAATCGCACCAAAAGTGTCACTCATAGTTTTACTGGGATATTTGTTTCAGTGTTTTTTGTATAAAGATATGAGAACAAACTATTTGCTGAGACAGTTCATTGATTCTATGTAGTACGTTTAACATGTGGAAGTAGAAAGAGTATACGAATATATACAATAGAAGATGATAAAGGGGTTTTGATGTTTAATGCATATTCCATTAGACAAGCATGTGTAACTGGCTTCCTGGTATATAGACTGGTATGTACATCTGTGCTAAGAATAACTGGACTTTGTAATGGCTTAACAATCAACCAATCAACTTAAATATAACAGTACTGTTGAGCAGGATATGTCATAAACTGTAAAGTCTTGTAAAATGGTTAGGTAATGGTTTTCTCATGAAATTGTATACAACCGCATGGTAGCATTCCTTATAAACCCACACGCATTCATGCCGAGTGACACAGGGAATGGGTATCATTTGTCTGTAGCTTTGTTTCGTATTCAATTTCCTTCATGCCGCCAAATGATTCGGCCATACTTGCAGTGAATGCATTATTCATCGCCATACTGATTTCGGTGTTATTAATGCAATGTTTTGGTATGTGCCCAAAGAGTGTTTGTAAGCTTTACTAAATTTCCATCAGCGGAAAAACTACAAAAAAGAAACGTGGTTCAACATAGTAGACGTGTTTTACATGTGTTAACTTTTCATCAGTACCACAGCATTAAGTGTAAATTGGAGTGACCTTGGAAAGGAATATTAAAATCTTCCTCACTTGTAGAATTGATTAAGACTCCAACTTGGAATGATGGATGATTGCACCTGATGTAAAAATGTTTGATGTAAGTGAAGTTTATTCAGGAGACAAAACGATCTCCATGTATTAAAGATATGTATGGGAAATACTCATTTTCGTTTTAATATATATGAGCAAAATGTGTTATTCTCTTTACATGCTTTTCAGAATGGTCTGAGGAAATGAAAAACACCGTTTTACATGATAAAAAGCGATAATGTAAAGTGTAATGGGAATACATTCTCCATATTTGGATGTATATGTACACTATATAATAATGTGACCAATCATATGAGTATTTAAAATACGTTTGTTGTAAAGTCATAAACGAATCAGAGTATACGGTATTTGATAGTAAATGCATTGATAATGATCTGTGTTATTTATATTGTCTGGAAAGACATGTCTTAAGGGGACACCCAATGACCACGACTACTGTATTACACGATAGTAGTATACTAACATGACCTTTTTTTGTAATTCTCCGCATGGAATCACGTGCGATGATGAAGTTTTCGAATATCATTGTGGCCGGTTGGATTAGAGGCCAAATAAATTAGGCCGTACCACTGAGATCCCGAGTTTGATTTCAGGTTTCAGCTATCCATTATTATTAAACTTGGTTCTCAAATATCGCGAGTTTGATGCTCTCAACCTTGCCATCACCGACTAAGCAATTTATGTATTCAATTTTACACGTAATGTGTCTAGATAAAAA